GGCAGCACCTGTGGCTCAGTGAGTAGGGTGCTGGCCCCATATACCAAGGGTGGCGGGTTCAAACCCGGCCCCAGCCAAACTACAACAAAAAATAGCCGGGCGTTGTGGTGGGTGCTTATAGTCCAGCTACTTGAGAAGCTGAGGCAAGAGAATTGCCTAAGCCCAAGAGCTGGAGGTTGCTGTGATCCGTGACGCCACGGCATTCTACCAAAGGCGACAAAGTGAGACTCTGTCATAAAAATAAAAAATAAAATACTCTGTCTGTCTTGAAAAATAAATAAATAAAATACTGTCTATTTTTAATTGCACATGAACTTTATGGACACTCTGTATTTTTGTGCTAAATTTCATTCCTGCTAATAGACAAAGCCAATTTTCTTTCATGAAGGAAATGTCATGTTTTCTTGAGTGACCATTGCTATAAAAGTAAATGGCAGAACTGTTCTGTGCCAACTCTGCCAACATTATTACCCGCCTCCCACGTCTGAAAAATACATGAATGCCCCTGAAAAAAACGTTAACAAGAATGTTAACGTGTAGCACTTTCTAAATAATATGGGTGAGTAAAGTTATTAAAATCTGTTGTATACATTTCTGCCACTTTTGCCTTGATTTTGTTTTGCCTTTACAAAACTCAAAAAAGTATTCAGGATTGCTTCTGCCAAAAACATGGTACCATCCTAGGATAATAAATGCACTTTGACTGTGTGCAGTGACTTATGCCTGTTATTCCAGCATTTGAGGGACTAAAGCATGAGGATTGCTTGAGGCCAGGAGTTTTGAGACCAGCATGAGCAACATAGCAAAATGTGTCTCTACAGATTTAAAAATTTAGCTGAGTGTGATGGGTGTGCACCTGTAGTCCTGGCTGCTCTAGAGACTGAGGCAGGAGTATCCCTTGATCCCAGAAGCTATCTGATACTACTACTGTACTCCAGCTTGGTCGGCAGAGTGACACCCTGTCTCAAAAAACAAATGAATAAACAAAAAAGTACATCCCTTCCCTTCTCCCCATTTGAACTACCTCCTACCCTTGAAAAGTTTTGCTTGTCCTTTCTAGTACAGAGAAAGTAATAACAAATACACAGATGACTGGCAAGCAGTCATGGTAAGTATAGATGACTGGGCAAACAATTCCATTGCTTAAGTTCCTTCCTTCTTAACTCTTCCTCTTTTAATCAGAAGACATCCTATTTTCCCCCAAATAATGCATTTTGTTTATTGTCATTGCTAGACCATCTTTAATATTCTGGGTTCCTGGGGCTGCAGCATCTACCATCTACCCTCACTCCTAAATTTAAAAAAAAACAAAAAACCCTGAAAGTATATGTCAGTTTTAAAACATTTGTTAGACTTTACTTTTACATATCATCTCTTCTCTGTCTCTTCTTTTACTTAAAGCCATCACTTTTTAGGAATTTAAGTTGAATTATGGAAATTATTGGTAAAGTGTTTCAGAAAACAAGTGGAAGGGGGTCGAATACAAATTTAAAACACTAAAGTTTATGGCCCTGCGTCTATTGCTCAGTGGTTAGGGTGCTGACCACATAACACCAGGGCCAGCAGGTTCAAACCCAGCCCTGGCCGAACTGCAACAGAAAAATGGCCAGGCATTGTGACGGGTGCGATAGAATGAGACTCTGTCTCTACAAAAAAAATTAGCAGAGTGTTGTGGCAAGCACCCTGTAGTCCCAGCTACTTGGGAGGCTGAGGCAAGAGAATCACTTAAGCCCAAGACTTTGAGGTTGCTAAGACCTATAATGCCACTCTACTCTACCCAAGGCAACAGCTTAAGACTCTGTTTGAGAAAAGACTAACATTTAGTAAAGTCAGCTGTATCCTTATGAAATCACTCAAGAAGCATTTTTAAAGCATCTTTCAAAAACCTCAATCTATGTTAAGTGTTAGGAACTTAGAGATGAATAAGGCATGATGCCCCCCACAGTAGGGGCATTTACGAGCAGATAATACTTTATTTTTCTTATGTGATGCATTAGATCTTAGTTTTAAACTATTAGATACTATCTTCATATCACAAAAGTTATTTTGAGTGGTTGTCTATACCATTAACTGTTTTTGTTTTTTTCTTTTGAGACAGAGCCTCAAGCTGTTGCCCTGGGTAAAGTGCCGTGGTATCACAGTTCACAGCAACCTCAAACTCTTGGGCTTAAATGATTCTCTTACCTCAGCCTCCTTACCACAGGCACCTACCACAACACCTGGCTATTTTTTGGTTGTAGTTGTCATTGTTATTTGGCAGGCCCGGGCTGGATTCAAACTGCCAGCTCTGGTGTATGTGGCTGGCGCCTTAGCCACTTGAGCTATCGTGGCTGAGCCTGTTTTTATTACTTTCATGTGAGGAAAACAACTAAAATAAATAAAACTACTTTTTCTTTTTTTTTTTTTTGAGACAGAGCCTCAAGCTGTCCCCCTGGGTAGAGTGCTGTGGCGTCACAGCTCACAGCAACCTCAGGCTCTTGGGCATGATTCTCTTGCCTCAGCCTCCCAAGTAGCTGGGACTACAGGCGCCCGCCACAACGCCCGGCTATTTTTTGGTTGCAGCCATCATTGTTGTTTGGCGGGCCCGGCTGGATTTGAACCCGCCGGCTCAGGTATATGTGGCTGGTGCCTTTGCCACTTGAGCCACAGGCACCGAGCCAATAAAACTACTTCTAACATAAAATAACTAAGGTTATATAAAGGGACCAATCTATCATAATTAAAAACGATGTGATTTTATTTTTGTGTTTTAATTATTTACCTAAAGGAAGTTTTATATATTATAACCTGTATGTGATAGTATTGTTCTTAAAGTACTTTATCTCTGTTATGATAGTATTGTTCTTAAAGTATTTTATCTCTGTTATGACACCAGAGTATAGTATAAATGATCTATTACAATACTAGCCTCTTTCACTGTATGGTAATATTCTCAAGAGCAGCAACCATTCATTGTGTTATTTAAAATGCAGCTTCTGGAAGAATAAGAAAAATATATATATATTTTTTGAGACAGTCTCACTATGTCACTCTCAGTAGAGGGTTGTGGCATCACAGTTCACAGCAACCTAAAACCCTTGAACTTAAGCAATTGTCTTGCCTCCCTCTCCCAAGTTGCTGGGACTACAGGCACATGCCACAACGCCCAGCTATTTTTTTGTTGTTGCAATTGTTGTTGTTTAGCAGGCCCTGGCCAGGCTCGAACCCACCAGCCTTGGTCCATGTGGCTGGCGCCCTAACCACTGAGCTACGGGTACCAAACCAATAAAAAATATTTGTATACTTTTTTGAGCCTTTTTCTACTTTTTGAGAATTTTAGTTCATTAAACATTGAGCTTATATACTATATAATTTTGTTTTACTCAAAATTTAAATTAGCATGGATTTAGTTATACATTAGATTATAGGAACTAATTGAAATATAATTCTGCATACAGGAATTATGAAGGAATACAAGAGAAACGGTTACCAGCTTTATGTTTAGTTGATACATAGTTAGGATGAACAGGAATTTGTATTTACAAAATAGATTAACTTTACTATTTGTCTTTTGATGTGAAAAAGGAGATCCAAAACAGAGACTTTTTAATTTTATTTATTTTTGTTGTTGTTAAATCATAGCTGTGTACATTAATGCAGTCATGGGGTACAATGTGCTGGTTTTATATACAACTTGAAATCTTTTCATCAAAGTGGTTAACATAGCCTTCATGGCATTTTCTTAGTTATTGTGTTAAGACATTTATATTCTTTGTACCCTAAAATAGAGACTTTTGATTATGACTGCCTAGTTTTTCTTTATTTTTGTGAGAAAAATAAAACTGATTTGAACAAAACGTGGCCCTATACAGAGTGAATCTGTTCAAATAAAATTGCTTTATATTATATTCAAATTATAACAAATATTTGTGATATTAGACAGATTTTTTTCAAGGTTAATTCTTTAATGTAGAAAAGCAGCTTACCTTTTTTGTAATTATTTATTGAATTCTCCTTTTTTTAACTCATAGAACTGAAGAATAATAAGCACAGTGGGTTGCCTGGAGCTACAGAATTAAATGGCTGCCATACTAAGTGCCAAAATAAACTACCATTAAGGCTCCCAGATGACCAAATAAATAAAGCTATGCAAAATGGAGGAGGAGATGACTTATCTAATCAGGTACATTGTTTGATATTTTGAGGGATGACATATAGTATTAAAAAGATTAGGGACCATATCACCAGATAAGAGTTCTGTTAGGTATCAGCTTTTCATTAACTTTGGGACTGTAAGTATATGTCTTTATATTTATTTTCCCAGCCTCTCCTTGAAAAAATACAGGCAACAAAAGTTGTAGCTTGTAGGTTTCCCTGCTTCCACGACCCAAAAACCGTCAGTTTACTTGGTTCTAATTATGAAAGAGTACTTTATGTTCTGATTTTGATAGTATCCAGTACATGGTGTGTTGTGACATCTTTAAAAAATGTGTCCATTCGGCTAAAGGGTTTGTGATGACAGGGAAGCTCCCTAGTCATGTCCGCCCCAGTATTGTGCTTCATGGAAAATGCACACCAGCGGTTTAATAGTAAGGACTTTGCTAAGAGAAATGCTGTATGGAAAGGGACGGCTAAGTCTGTTCCTTTCTTTGGATGGGGAGGTGTGAATTTTTATTTCCTTTATTACTTTGTCACTCACAGAGACTGTGACTGGTTGTCTGCTCTCTCTCCTGAAACATACTTTTCACTGCAGGGAACATATTTAATAGACCACCTGTTAAATTACTCTGAGCATTTCTCATTTCTTTGCCTAGGAAATGTGTTCTCCAATTTGGTCTTGCAATTTGGAAGATCCGTGTGTTCTTCCAATAATATTTGGTTTTTAGAGGTAAAAAAAAAAAGTTGTAGCTCTTAGACTGAAGCTTAAAATAAATAAAATATATAGAAAAGCACTTGAAAATAAACCAGAAAGTATTAAATTAGTAAAAGAAATGTGTAAGATAATTGCACCAGATTGTTCATTGCAGCTCAATTCATAATAGCCAAGTTATGGAAGAAGCCCAAGTGCCCATCAACCCATGAGTGGATTAATAAATTGTGGTATATGTATACTATGGAATATTATACAGCCTTAAAAAAGATGGAGACTTTACCTCTTTCATGTTTACATGGATGGAGCTGGAACATATCCTACTTAGTAAAGTATCTCAAGAATGGAAGAAAAAATATCCAATGTACTCAGTACTATTATGAAACCAATTTACAATCTCTCATACTTTCATATGAAGAATAGATCATAACTATGGCCCAAGATGAAAGAGGGAGGAGGGGAGGTGAGAGGGAGTGGGGAGGTCAGATCAAGGAAGGGTGAATGGTGGGATCACACCTATGGTACATATTGCAAGGGTATGTGTCAGATCTATTAGTATAGAGTATAAATGTTTTAACACAATAATTAAGTAAACAAGATGAGGTATACATTAACCAGTGTGATATAAGCATTCCTAATTGTATATGAAAGCAGCACATTGTACCCCATAAATGCATTAATGTATACATGATCTATGTGTTTATGATTTAATTTTAAAAATTAAAAAAAAAAAGATAATGAATACCCCACTGGTACTTCTAAATCTTAAGTTCTGGCAAATGAGTTTCTGAGCCTCCACTAATAAAATCTGTAGAACTAGAAGTTCATGTGCTTGATGCATTTTGTGCAGTGCTTAAGGTTATGTTTAGATGGGGGTTGTTAAAATAAAAACATGTTATCTTTTTTATTTGAAGGAATTCATTAGAAAAAAAGAAGTAAAACATTTGTGTACAAAGAAACTAAAAAATTGTGGAAGAACAAATGAAAGGATAATTGAAAGTCAGAAACAAGGTAATGTATCTTTGATGGTTTTGTAATCATGAATAAAAAGGTACTATTTGAAATGTTTTTAATATTAAAGTGATCGTGTAAATTTTCTAATCTAAAACAGTAAACTATTTTAGTGATTTTAGATGGTTGGTTTTGTTATTTTTTACATTAGATGGTTTGCATAATAAAATAATCTTTTACTTTACATACCATATATAATTTGAAATACGCTTACAGGAATGTTTAAAAACTGGATCCTTTTAGGAATTTAATATCATAATTTACTTTTCTGTAAGTGTGACTTTTCAGAGAGAAATCCTGCATACCAAAATTTACAGAGCTTTTTCTGCTTTAAGCATTAGCAGATTTAAAATTTCATCTTGAGTTAGATTCATCTGTTCAATAACAGTTTTTCTATTTTTCTCATAAACAAAAGTAAAAATGAAAAAAATGTATAAGTGTTAAGTAAATGGAGAGGAAAGCAATATTGCTTAGACCACCAAATTTATATAAGTTAGGTTAAAGTATCTAAGATAGGCTGCATCTTTATTTCTTCAAATTTTTAATAAAATGAACAGAAATGTTCTAGATAGGAATATTTTGTTCAAAATTAGAACGTTCACAACTTTAAAATTCCCAGTTGAACTTCTGGGTTGGATTTATACAAGGAATTAGATTTTCTTCATAATTTGAAGATATATGATGGTAGTAAAAAAATCTTACAGAAGCTTTTTAGTTACTTTCGATTAGTACCATTTCTCCAGAAACTAAATTAGTGGCTTCTTTTCGCCTCTGCATTCAATATTATCCATCATTTTTCTTGTTGTTTTTTTTTTTTTTTTTGGTGTTGTTATTCATCTTGTAAACAATGGCCCATAATATGTATAGGTTATTGCAGTATTTCTCTGTGATGATTGGTAGAATGATTTACAATTTAAATGTATTTTTATAATTGGACAATTGAGAGTTTCAGTTAGTTTGGCTTCTCGTTACTGAGGTGTGCCCATTTTAATTTGGTTTCTTTACCTAGTGACAAAGTGTAATAAAGATTCTCAAGTTGTTCTGTTTTGCTTATTTCCCATGCTACATCATGGTGTTTGGAGGGATTCATTTTGGGTGTGTCCCTGTGGCCACCATAAGGAGTGCAAATGCAGCCATGCAGATAGAGTTCCGTGTTCTCCTAATTCTCTCCTTAACTAGCACAGCTTCTGTTCCATACAGTACATACCTAATGAAGTCTTAATGACCCTACTGGTTTTATTATGTCTCCTATCTCCAGAAAGTTGTATATTTTATTTGTGAAAATATTTTTTCTATGCTTATATTTATATAGCTAATTTGGTTTTTGGTTTTGTCTTAAGAAATTAAAGAAAGAACTGAAGAATTGGATGTACCCATTGATATTCTAACCTCAAGGAAACAGTTTTTCACAGATGAAGAAAGAAAAGACATAGCTGTCAATCAGAAGGAAGCTTATATTTTAGTAACACCACTTCATTCTAGAAAACTGATAAAGGAAAGATGCATGAAGTATAATCTCTCTGCCAGCACAATTAAAGCAGTTACAGATCTTATAGTGCCAAGGCATCAAAAAAAATATCCCATTAGTAAGTTCTCACGGACTTTAGAAAATACATTTGAGTATAGTGTAGGTCATCAAAGTAAAAGCGAGGAAGATTACAGTGAATGTGATTTGCTCACTAACAATCAGAAAATAGAAATACCTAGCCCTAAAAAGGAGCAGATGGTCACCTCTGACTTTAAGAAAAATATCAAGATGTTACCACAATCAAAGAAAATCAAAACTCAAGTAGGGATGCCATCTTACGAGCATCAGTCTTCATCAGGTTTGTCAAGTGAAGAGAGCGAGACAGAAAAGGAGATTAGAAGGAAAGCTGCTGCTGCTAAGAGCTCCAGGGCAAGAGATACCAAAGAAACGGGGGTTCACCTGAGAAAAAGCACCAGAAATACCACAAAGAGTATCCCAGTGATTTCAGAGTCTGAAACCGAAGAAAGTGAAGATGAATTTTATATCAAACAAAAGAAAGCTAGATGTTCTACGAAAGAAAATCTTCCAAAACCTAGTGGTAGGAATTCTTTACCAATTGTTGAGGTGATGGTATCTGATAAGACTAATACCCATCCCTCCAAGTGCTTACCTGATTTAATTCAAGACGAGGAATGGAATGAGACTGAATTACAGAAACTTCACTGGTAAGTAGTTAGATTTGACTCTGAAATGTCTATAGAATGGCCACAAAATATTTGAAGATGCAGAAATATCAATATGGAATGATTTAATGACTTCTACCAGTTAACATGGAAGATGTCATTTCAAAAAATGGGGAGAAGTTAAAATTAAAGCCAAGTTAGTCAAATGCGGTAATCTTGCTTAGCTTCACATTTTAAGAAATATTTTATAATTTAATTTACTATTATAAAATATTAAAGCTGAATTTAAACGTGTAAATTATTAATACAGTCTTTCCCCCCTTATGTACAGGCTCAAATTAGGTGCTTTGTCCAAGGTTTCATAGTTAGTATAGAAACTGAACTAAAGCTCAATGAGAATCTGTTTTTTCATTCATTCATTCAACATTCGTTAGTTAGGTGCCTTCTATGTGCCAGTTTGGAAATACAGAAATTAACAAAATAGACAAGCTCCTTTTCTTCAAGTAGTTTAATTTGGAAGATACATAATATAAAAGTAAACCAGTAAATAAAAATAGTCAACAAATTGTGATAAGTTCTAAGAAAGAGGCAAATATGAGACTGATATGGAGAATTATAGGTAGTATGGTCAGGGAAGCTCTTTCTTGGTTAATGACATTTAAATGGAAGTCAAAGGATGAGATGAGATGGTGTTAGCCATAGAAAGAACTAGAGAAACAGCATTCCAGGAATAGGGAACAACCTAATAACAGGATTTCTATCCTATCCTTAGGATAGAAAAATGTCGATACAGAAGGAACAAAAATAAGACTACTGTTATTAGAGCATAAAGAGTTAGAGGGAATGGCTTGAGATGAGAGTAGAGGAGATTGTTTGGGGAAGTGAAAAGGTACTAATTGCGGGTTGTTAAAGTAGTCCATTGTGTTCTACACTGATATGGAAGCTGTAAAGATGGAGAAAATTGGATTAGCAATATGTAGACAACATCAAATACAAATGTTATCAGTTGTATGGCACCTGACCTAAATGACTTGTCAGATGGTGGTGGTGTGGAAGTATTAGAGGAAGGAATAGGTTGGGGTTGGGAATTGAGTTTCTTTTTAGACATATTCTATTTAGATTGGTAAGAAGTAGGTAGAAATACACTATGGAGTCCAGCAGAGGTCTAGGCTATGATATAACTTAAGTAGGCATGAACATAAATTGAACTTACGAGAACACATGAGGGACTTGGTCCCAGATGCATCCTGGAAGGCCTGGTTTCTCTGCCTCTTGTCATCAGGCAGGGGCTGCAGCCTAGTGTTGAACTCTCACAGTTGTGCCTGGGACCTATAATCAGACCTATAATCAGAAAAGCTTAGGCCCCATCCAGGCCCCATCTTGTCCAGTGTGGACAAGAAATTGGGAAAATGTTGTATACTTGTGTCTGTCTCAACAGCAGCCTGCAGCAGGGTGGTGGGGGCCTTCCCAGAGGTGCATGAAGTGCTTTGGTGCCTCTCTTCCTCCTTGGAGACATTCAGTGGCTGCAGGAGCACCCATAGTTCTCTGGTACCTAGGCTCTCAGAATGGCACCCCACTCAAGCTGCTAGAGTAGGCTCAGCTGCCTGTGGGATTTCACCTGTATTCCCTTTTTAGAGCCATGTCTCTGGCATTCTCCAAGCATCTCCCTATGTTAGGCCTGAGTGAAACCTACATGGATCAGGGGTTTGCTTAGCCAAGAAATACATTATTTCCAAGGGACGTCGATCATTTGTCAAAATAGAACATATATCAGGTCATAAAATGTATCTTAACAGATTTTAAATAACAGACCATTATACAAAGGATGTTTTCTGATGATAATTGAATTAAACTACAAATCAATAAAAGATTATGGAAAAAATTCCAAGTAGTTGGACATTAAATGACATAAATCATGGATCACGGAGGAAGTTTTAAGAGAAAGTAGAAAATATTCTGAACTGAACATAAATGAAAATATGTCAGAATTTGCAGTATAAACCTAGGAGTTCATAAACAACTTTATGGGGTTGCGTTACCAGGTTCCTGCCCCTTCCTGATTTCTGTGGTACTTTCTCCATAAAACAAATAATGTTACATTCTTTTAGTGGACTAAGCCATAAAAAGGAAGAACTACTGATACATGTTAACAACTTGGATAAATCTCAGAGCCCTTATGCTGACTGACAGAAGACAACTCAAAGGGTTACGTACTATTTGCTTTCATTTATATGTCATTCTGCAAAAGACAAAACTCAATTCTAGATCAGGAATTGCCAGTGGTTAATGGTGAGGGACAGGATAAGAAAGAGGTGGCTTGAGGGGTTTCTCACTGTAATAGAACTGTTCTGTACCCTAGATTCTCTAGATCCATATGTGAAGATCATACAGCCATACAATTTAAAAATTGTTGTAATAATGCCTGTATTTTATGCTACTTTTTTTGTACTTTGAGTTGCTGTTTTATGCATTAAGTATTTTTTTTATTAAATCATAACTGTATATTAATGCGGTTATGGGGTATAATGTGCTGGTTTTATATACAGTTTGAAATACTGTCATCTAACTGGTTAACATAGCCTTCACCTCATTTTCTTAGTTATTGTGTTTAGAAATTTATATTCTATGGCAGCACCTTTTGCTCATGGAATAGGGCGCCAGCCCCATATACTGGAAGTGGCAGGTTCAAACCCAGTCCAACTGCAAAAAAACAAACAAACAAAAAGACATTTATATTCTACATATAGATTTAACATGTACCCTTGTAAAATGCACCATGGGTGTGGTCCCACCAATTTGCATTAAGTATTTTCATTATGAAAAATAGACCTTTTTATACAGTCCTAAACTTGTAAATTAGCTACACACACAGACAGAAAAGCTTGATCCCCCAAATCTTTCTAGTTCCCTGCTTTAGAACATCTATATACTGATTAATTATGCAAAAGAAAGCATTCATTAACAAGTGTTTGTTTTCCTTCTCTGCAAAAAATGGTAAACTGCAGTGGTCTGGTAGCTATTCCACTCAAGAGCTGATTTTTAAATTTTGATTGTTAAAATCATTAAATTATATAAACTTACAATTAAATTAAAAACAAAGGTAATACTCAAAACTCTTCACTGCCTGATTATTTTACTACATCTATTATATGTGCTCTTGAAGTTCTTTACCTCTGTTGTATCTGTATAGTAGAACTACTATGTAATCCTGTACTTTTGCATGTTGTTTATTAATTGCATATTCATTGAGGTCATGTTGGTAGCTTGATATTGACCACAATGGGAGTATTCACCACATGGACATTGGAAAACATTACAAATAAGGGCTTTTTAACCCCAGAGAGCCAATTAAAAATATACTGGCAAACAACTGCATGAAATCTTTTTCTACTGGTTGGTATCCAAGTTGAAATAAAAACATATTTTGTCAAAGAAATAGTATTAAAAATAAAGACTTGATATAGTTTAAATAGGACTGTTAGTACCTTTTTAGGCTAAATTGTTGAGTTACATAGATGTTATCTGGTTGAAATGTCATCTTAGCCATATATATAAAAATCTTTTTTCGGGGGGTGGGGTGGTAATGTTTATAGTAGGTTCTAAACAGTCATTTACAAGTAACCTTTTAGAATTTAACTCCTATGTTAAATTGAGGACTATCTTTTTTTTTTCTATTTCAGTTTTCATCTCTCAACAGAGAGGATTTTATCCAAAATACTGAATTCTATAAATGTCAATACAATGAAAGCAAGCATAACACTTTATGAATTTAAAACCTGGAAGATAATAAGAATACAGAGCTTATCTTCCAATATACTTAGCACCAGTAACATTGTAGAAAAATGTGCCCAGAAGACCAAATCATTGATTAGTTGGACTTAGAAAAAATTTTCAGGGGCAGTGCCCGTGGCTCAAAGGAGAAGGGTGCCGGACCCATATGCTGGAGGTGGCAGGTTCAAACCCAACCCCGGCCAAAAACTGCAAAAAGAAAAAATTTTTTTTCAAAAGACTGGGGATGATTTTTTATTTTTTGAATACAAGGCATCTACAAGATATATGAAGTTACATCTTCATCTGTAGAGTAAGTTACTGAGTATAGGGAATAGTGTCTTCTTTCCAAATGGTTATCTAGAATGATTTTCGTAAAGTTCCTTCAATCCAGTAAATCTCTTCGATTCAGTAGTATGCTTTCAGGAGGTTATTTCTACTGATTTGGATTTCTAGTTCTCTAACTGGTTTTGGTCTTCCATAGTGCTCTTGCATCTTTTCCAAAGCACAAACCTGGTTTCTGGTCTGATGTGGCTATGGCAGTAGGTTCTAGATCTGCTCAGGAATGCCAGAAGAAATATATGGAAAATCCCCGAGGAAAAAGATCCCAGAAGCATGTCACTAAGAAAAAGCCAGCCAATTCCCAAGGCCAAAATGGTAACTTTCGTAGTAAATAGTTTTTTCCTAGTGCTTAGTGTAGAGGACTAATCACTTACTAAATAGATTTTATATTTATCCATTAGTATTATATATGTATTTTCTTCAAATGTTAAAGCTAGAAAGAACTTCAAAGATCTCCTTAATTTTTAAGTCTTACCTAGGTAGCTAGCTACTTCTATTAATAGTAACTTAGCAGTCAGTGTGTGCTTTGAGTTTGGTCTAGGAAATCTGCAGTTGGATCCAGAAGTTTCAGATCTGAGGGTCTAATTTAACGCCACTTGGGTAGGGTTCCCTAGTGAGAAAACTCATAATAAATTTAGTTTTTATAGTCTCAGTTCTTTCTACAGTTAATAATGAAAGGTATTATGTGCCAGAGAAACCCTATTTTAAGCTTTAGGGAATTAACCCAGTATCCCTACTATAATTCAGTAAGGTTTATGTTTTAGCAAAATCAATAAATAAGGCATCAGTGAGGGCGGGATAGGAGGTACCCTTTCTTACAACATAAAGACCTTTTTAATTACTCTCATCTTGCCTAATCGTGTAGTTTCTTCATGAGTATCATGTGGGCTAATCATGGCACAGGTCCAAGTGTAGAAAGAACTATTTGTTAAACTTGTAAAGTGACAGAGGCTGAGTTTACTTAACATGAGTACATACTTCAAAGTTTGCAAAGACAGTTAGCTTTATAGGGTAGTTACTATAAATGATCAAATCCTTATCAAAATGTTTTGCTGGCTTTTAAGGCAAGAGAGGTGATGCTGATAAGCAAACTACGAAGATAACTGCCAAAATGGGAACTCTGAAGAGGAAGCAACAAATGAGAGATTTCCTGGAACAGTTGCCAAAAGATGATCATGATGATTTTTTCAGTACACCTTTGCAGAATCAAAGAGTATTGGTAAGAGTCTTCAGTGCATGCAATTACTGTTCTCTTTGTTGATACATACTTTTTAATTTTTATCTTTTTTTTCAATTTGGGGGGATTCTGTTTGTTTTTATCAATATTGACTTTTAATGTCTTTCACTTTTATGTATGGTGAATGTTCATCACTAATATTTAGGTCAAAGATTAATGGTCTCCACAGACATGACCAAAGTATTATAGGAAGTAAAGTGCTGGTACATGCTATTCTCACCAGTTTCCATTCTGCCTTTTAGTGGGGCTCCAAGATAAGGTTTGTAGAACCAAATAGTAAACTTAGAAATAAGAATAATAAAAATGGACAGGCACAGTAGCTCATACCTAGCACTTTGGGAGTTCAAGGCTGCTGGATTGTCTGAGCTCAGGAGTTTGCAAGCAGTCTAAACAAAAACAAGTCCTTGTCTTTTAAAATAGCCAGGCAAGGCTGGGCTCACAAGTTCGAGACCAGCCCAGGCTAATGTGAGACCCCCCATTTCTAAAAATAGCCAAGAGTTGCGGCAGGCTCCTATAGTCCCAGCTACTTGGAAGGCTAAGGCAAGAGAATTGCTTGAGCTCAAGAGTTTGAGGTTGCTCTGAGCTATGACACCATAGCACTCTATTGAGGGCACCAAAGTAAAACTGCCTCAAAAAAATAAAATAGCCAGCCACTGTGGTGAATGCCTATGGTCCCCAGCTGCTTGGGAGATTGAGGCAAGAGGATCACTTGAGCCCAAGAATTTGAGGTTGCTGTGAGCTATGATGTCACAGCACTCTATCTAGGGCTACAAAGTAAAACTCTGTCTCAAAAAAAAAGAAAGTATCAAGACCACAGGAAAATGTGAATAAGAATTCAAAAGGCTAAACAAACATTTGGCAAAGTGGTCACTTTAGCTAGTAATCAGAAAAAAAGGTAAATTATATGTATACCTTCTAAATTACAGGATCTGGCTGGGCATAGTGGCTCACACCTACAATCCTAGCACTTTGGAAAGCCAAAGCAGTAGGACTGCTTGAGGCCAGGAGTTCAAGACCAGCCTGAGCTGGAGCCAGACTCTGTCTCTACTAAAAATAGAAAAATTAACCATGTATGGTGGCTGGCACCTATAGTCCCAGCTACGTAGGAGGCTGAGGCAGGAGGATCGCTTAAGCCCAGGAGTTTGAAGTTGTAGTGAGCTACTATGATGCCACTACACTTCTAGCCTAGGTGACAGAGCACGACCCTGTCTTTCTCGATAGGTAGATAAATAAGACAGACTGACTGAATCTTTTTGTCAAAAAATAAAAAAATAAAGTCTCCATTGCTGATGAAAAGCAATGATAATATTGACAGTCATGCCTCAGTGGATGCATCAGTTGAATCATCTTTCAGAAAGCATTGTGACAATATATTACAAAAGCCATAAGATTAATTCTTGAATGTTTATCATACAAAATTTAAAAGCCCAAAATCTTCACAAAGATATCTATTCACTTCAGGTTTATCTTCACAGCAAAATACTTGGAACAATCTATATATTTAATAGAAGGCTGTTTTTCATAATCATAGTGAAATGTAAAATAAATGCCAAATGCAAGACTGTTTCTAAGATATAAATGTTAAGAATATTAAGATTAAGTAAATGCGTAAGTGTGGATAAACAACTGGGCTGTTAAGTGTAAAAACTGGAAGAGTTTTGTTAGTAAGCTAGACTTACGGGTAATTTTTTCATGTACTAATTTGTTGTTTGTGTCATTACATCATCTTCAGACTACACAGAACTTAGCAATACCATTACTAGGCCCCCTTTTTGCTTATAGAAGTTATAGAGGGAAATATTTTAAAAGCATCATCTAAGGCCCTCTATTCTCTTCACAACACTGTGGTCCTTTAGAGGTTCCCTAACATGCTGTCCCACCACCACATCAAGTTTACTATGTATGTTTTGGCCTGAATGATATAGTAGCAATGTTAAAAAGAGATAAAATAGAAATGGACAGCAATGTTTAACTCATCTTACGTGGCTTAAGTATACTTCCTCTAAGGTTTTAATGTAAAGGTATGTAAAATCTTAAGGACTCATTGTTTACTGGAAATACATATGCACAAAAGTTTAATACTGCTTCAGTTCTTAGTAAGTGCCAAGTATAACGGTAAATGAATTACAGTTTTATTCTATCTTTATTAAACATCAGCAAACTATGGTCCTGTGGACCAACTCTAGCCTACCACCTGTTTTTATAAACAAAATTTTACTAAAACCTAGCCATGCCTATGTTTGCATATTGTCAGTGGCTGCTGGCATGCACCAAAGGCAGACTTGTGTAGTTGGGAAAAAGTATACAGAACACAAAGCCTAAAATATTTACCATCTGACTCTTCACAGAACACATTTGCTGACCTCCAGTCCACAAAACCTTTAGAAATAGGTGTTTTGTCTCCATTTTACCCAGGAGAAAACTTCCTGTACCTACTAATATTTTTAATTAGCTAACTTACAAAAATTATAGAAAGAAAAATAATCAGTCTGCAAAAAAACATTTTATGATAATAAGAAAGGCCATTTTTATAGGTGCCTGCTGATAATATTTGTTTTCTAGTTGCCAAGCTTTCAGGACAGTGATGACGACGATGATATTCTGCCAAAAATGGACAAAAATCCAACAACTCCATCATCAGTTATCTTTCCATTGGCAAAAACTCCTCAGTGTCAGCATGTCAGTCCTGGCATGCTAGCCCCAATAAATAGGTAAATATCCACGTGTATGATGTGTTAACTCTGCATTAGCCAATTGGGGAACATTTATTGACGAGGAGCATAGATGCCAGAAATGGGAAGAGTCATCATTATAGAAAAATCAAGAATATATAGTTCCTAGAAGTTAAGGATGGGGAATTTTAGCAAATTAGGGGTGTTATTCACTTATAATTTGGGATATAACTCACATTTTACAGTAGGATGAATTCCAAATGGATCAAAATTTTACAAGTAAAAAATTAAAGCATAGGCTGGGCAAGGTGGCCAACACTTGTAATCCTAGCACTCTGGGAGACCCAGGTGGTGGATCATTTGAGCTCAGGAGTTCAAGAGCAGCCTGAGCAAGAACATGACCCCTTCTCTAATAAATAAAAATAAAAGCTGGGCGTTGTGGCAGGTGCCTGTAGTCCCAGCTACTTGGGAGGCTGAGGCAAGAGAATCGCTTAAGCCCAAGAGTTGGAGGTTGCTATGAGCTGTGGTGCCAGGGCACTCTACCCAGCAACAGCTTAAGGCTCTGTCTCAAAAAAAAAAAAAAAAAAAACTAATGTATAAAAAAAATTTAAAGGAACCTTGGAGAAATATTTTATGACCTCAGATTAGTGATGGTCTTTCAAACTCAGATGGAAATGAAAGTCAGTAATGAAAAGATTAATAAATAAAGTCAACCATATAAAAAAGAGTTTGAAGTTCTTATCTGGTACCAACTACCATAAATAATCAAAAGACAAGTAACCGGAGTAAAGAACATGCACAACTTATCACAGGCAAAAGGTTCTTTTGCCTCATATATACAGCACTCCTACAAATTAACAAGAAAAGGGAAGCCATTCTCATTCCTTGCTAGTAAGAAGGTAAATTATTAAAATATTTACAGCAATAATTGGTCAGTACCTATCAAAGTTATAAATACACATGCCCTTTGACCTAGGAATCTTCTAGAATTGTAAATGTACAGCTTATTCATTGTACCATTGTTTACAGTGTTAAAATTCAAATGTCCATCGATAGGGACCAATTAAATGAATCCTGGTACATTATGTAGTTGTAGAAACTAATGAAGGAATTTTTTTACTACTGTATGATACAGTGCCCAAGATATAGAAGTGAAAAAAGCTGGATGGAGTGAATAATGTGCTGTCCATGCAGAGGCTCTGTGCTTATGTGTATATATCTGTATGGTCATGCACATGTATATAGTTGCTTTCATTAGAGTACTTCTAAGAAACTGAAAAACTGGGGATCTCTAAAGTAGTTGGTGGCAAATGGGGTACTTTGGAACTTTGAACCACTGAATCTATAGGAACTATTTGAAATATAAATTAAGAAACAATAAGGGTGGCCAATAGTCAAATGTCACAGAAAAAAGAAACTGTTAAAGAATGAGACCTAAAAATAGGCTATTCTGTTGGCAATTATGAGGTCAGTGCTAATCTTAGTAAGAACAATTTCCATAGTGTGAGAAGCAAAAGCCAGATAATTGTGACTGAGAAAAAAACTATTCAGTAGCCCCATGATGCTTGGTGAAAATCTTCTTTAGCAATCCACAGATATTTTTTATTTTTAGTATTTAGTGGAGATGAAAGCATAGTAAGAGTATCATTTTGGACAGAATTTTTGGGAGCAGTTTGGCCAAATGATCAAAGCCTTAAAATATGCATCTGTTTGACCCTTGACTTTTATTAGTCAATTCTAAGGAAAAATGAGATTTGGGCAACTATATTTTTATATATGTCTGAACAAAGAAAACATGTAGAAAATTTGAAAATGAGCTAAAATTTCAAACATATGAAATTGATTTATTCATGTAACAGAATAGTATGTTTAATTAAAAGTATATTTTCAAAAATTTTTAGTACATAGAATAAATAATGTTCAGTGGATAATCATTTATAAGAGCTAAGAAATAAAACTACATACAGTATGAGCCCAATTTGATACAGGAAAGTGGACCCCAGGCAGGTTCTTGGCTTCCCACAGGAAAGAATTCAAGAACCAGTCTACAGGATAAAGCAAAAGCAAGTCACAAACAGAAGGCAGGCTGCTCCAGACCAGAGCAGGGGCTGTCCCTCTTTCCAGGGCAGGGGAGAAAGAGTGGCCCTGTTGGAGTTTCCAGGGTCTTACACTTTACTACCTTTTATTTAATTTTATGTTAATCAGAGGGAAGATTATTCTTAACATTTCTGAGAAAGGGGTTGAGAGTCCCCAGAACCCAGGATTCCTCTTTCATCCATATATGGTAACTTCCAGAATTGCCAGGGCGTTTCCATACACCGCTGGGAGTTTGAGTATGCAGATACATTGTAACTGGCCTGCACTCAGGAGTGAGGGTAACCTTAAGTAGTTTTCTATCGCCCTGCTGGTTCTAACTGGTTTTGGCCTGCTTCTCCAAGGTTCTCTTAGGAACCTTGGTTTGGGTCTTGTTTCTTATCAAGTTGGTGCTGCTGATTCCCTATCTCACAAGGACATTTCTTGTTTCTTTTGAGACAGTCTCAGGCTGTTGCCGTGGGTAAAGTG